AACATTGAACTGGTTTTCTATTTTTTTCTGCATATACTTGAATGGCATTTGGGTTTTCTAGGACTAGAAAGCCCCCTTTCCTCTCCACTTCCTCCCACAAAGAAAAAAAAAGAAAGAAAAGAAAAAGGAAAAAGAAACTTCTAGAAAGCCAAAGATTCTACACATTATTGTCCTTTTATAGATGAGGATATTAGAGTTTCCCATCTTTCAATGAAGAATGGGACTACAGGAAGGTTGAGAATAAATCACAAGAAGCGGCACCGTCAGGAACACTTGTGAGTGCTGCAGGCAACTCACTCTTCCCCTGCGGGCCTGGGAGCAAACAGGTAGAAACTGAGGTGTAAGGAAATCTAGGACTTTGGTTGAGGATGGCTTGGGTCAAATCCCAGGTGGCCTCACACTACATCCATAGACTTGGACAGTGGATTTCGCTTCTCAGAGCCTTCATCTTCAGCTGCCATAAAATGGTTGGGGGCCCCTTCCTCCAATCAGTATGTGTGGATTAAAGAAATGTGAACTAGCTCAGAACATTGGAGGAATTCACAAATGTGACTTCTCTTTCTTCTCCTTTAATCATTAACAAAATATCTAAACAACCAATTTATCTAATTATTAATGAGTAACAAATTAGTCAATAGACATAAATGTTAACAACAAAATATATGGCTTTTCATTATTAGTAATGAAAACAACTAAGTAATGAACCACTTATTAATTAGCCAATCAGTCCAATTATAAATAAAACAACATTTGATCCCTGTAATACTGCAGTGACTAAACAACTATTTAATATGATTAGTACTTACAATGATGATGCATGAACACTAATTAACCTAATTATCATTAATAAAGAATAATTATTCCTAATAACCGCCTAGTTCCAATTGGATTTATAAAGTTAGATGGAATTTGAAGATGCATGAAAATTACTTGCATAAATTAGCATGGCAATCAAATTCCTTCGTGACTTGGATATGTTCATTTTGGGGGGAAGCTGCTCAGAATTTGTGAGCCCTCCTCCGAGATGGTGGATCCCTGTAGCACTAGCCCTCATGACTTCTCACCTCAAGGGATTCCTGCACAGAGGCCCAGGGCCACAGCCCACCCAGCCTTCTCTCAGGCCAAGCCCTCCCCTGCCTGCGTTTCCACCAATTCAAGGGACTTCATCCTGAGCACAGCACCAGCAGCACTGCCTACGCATAAACACTTGACCAGGCCAGACACAGATTTCCAATTTTCCTAAAAGGCTGCCAGGATACAGGAGTCGCCACATAGGACATCCTGGCTGTATAGATTTATTATAGAATTTTCCAGCAGGTGGAATATTTCATTTTGAAAGAAAGGCATGAAAAGCATCTTATAGGATTCCAGCCACCCCGGGGCTTTGCACGCTCTGAGATGGCAGTGTGGCTCTTCCCATAACGCAAAGCTAATTAAACTCTCTGAGCTTGGTTTCTCTGGATTTTAAATGAGGGTAAGCGTATTTTGCTCACAGGCAGTTATAAGGAATAGACACGATTATCTGTGAAAGCTAAAGAGAATGCCTGGCAACAGCAGAAACTCAACACGCAGGTTTCCTTTACTTCTCCCCACTGCTCTTTCAGGGATAGGCCACATGGGATCAGCCTTGGTTTTCCAGGTCAGTGTCAAGATCCTGCTCTGGGCCTCCACAGAGCCTTGACTTCCTCTCCAAAGCTCAGCTCGGTGGATTCTCCTTCCAGGTTAATCCTGTGTTTTTGTTTGATGCTGCTTTGACATCCTGAGGCCTCGTGGATGCAGGGAGGGCCTTCGCCTCCTAGGGGTAGCTAATTCCTAGAGATTGCAAAGGACTTGCTTGAGCGTAGGACCCCGAGATGCACACTGGCCAATCCCTAGTCCACAACCCCACCACCTCCTTCAATCAGGCTCCTGTAGTCTGGGACAGGACACCACCTCTCTGCCCTAAATCACCCCTGGGCCAGGTACTACATCGTGAGAAACCACCCCTACAGCTTGAAGCTTGTGGAAATTATTCAAAACTGTCCAATGCTAAGCCTGCTCAGCAACTGACCCTGCCTCTCCCTTGCCTTCCCTTGAAAACCACAATAGAGGCTCCTGCCCACGTCTGCCTTTCACTCTCTCTGCCTTTGAACTGCCGCTGGTGCAACCCTGGCAGCCCTTGCAGGAAACAGACGCTCTCGTCCACAGAAACTGTGAGGAGCAAACCACCTCCAATGACGGCCAGCTCCTGATCTGTTGGCCTCACCCTACCTAAATAAATAGGTTCAGATGAAAACACCTTCTCTATCCATGTCTCTTTCTGGCCCATTAATGTGTGAATCCTCATGGTGTAGACCGCAGCTACTTAGATTTGACATCCCAGGAGCTGAATTTGGTACCCAGTGTGTACTTAATAAAAACCCATTGAATGAATAAATCCATGAATGAACAAGCAAATAAATGGTAGGCAGGAGAAAACAGAGGCCAGACCGAGGCCAGGTAGACACATGGATATGTCAGAAAGAGTGACTCAGAGGAAATGGCTGAGATGCATAGAAACCCAAACTCCTGCTGTGGAGAAACTGGAATGCTTTTACACTGTTGGTGGGAGTGTAAATTAGTTCAACCATTGTGGAAGACAGTGTGGCACTTCCTCAAGGGTCTAGAACCAGAAATACCATTTGACCCAGCAATCATTCTACTATAACAACACATGCACACATACGTGTATTGCAGCACTATTTACAATAGCATAGACTTGGAACCAACCTAAATGCCCATCAATGATAGACTGGCTGAAGAAAATATGGCACATACACACAATGGAATACTATGCAGCCATAAAAAAGGATGAGTTCATGTCCTTTGCAGGGACACAGATGAAGTTGGAAGCCATCGTTCTCAGCAAACTAACACAGGAACAGAAAACCAAACATCTCATGTTTTCATTCATAAGTGGGAGTTGAACAATGAAAACACATGGACACAGGGAGGGGAACAAGACACACCAGGGCCTGTCAGGGGGTGGGGGCAAGGGGTGGAAGAGCACTAGGACAAATCCCTAATGCATGTGGGGCATCAAACCTAGATGATGGATAGATAGGTGCAGTGAACCAACATGGCACATGTATACCTATGTAACAAACCTGCACATTCTGCACATGTATCTCAGAACTTAAAGTAAAATAAAATTAAAGAAAGAAAGAAAGAAACCCGGCCTCTTAGCATACGAGTGGCTGACCTGAACACAGCTTTGATTCCATCAGGCAGTGGCCCCAACCAGACCACCAGGAGGTACATACTGCAAACACTATGTTGCCTGGTTCTGAACCATTGAGATTCCTGAACACATCAGGGTACACGATTACAGGGTGCAAATCCCTGCCATGAAAAGCCTGGCAATATTTATATCTATAGCACACAGCTCAGTGTCTGGCATTCAGTAAGGATTTACTGAAAGAAAATGACTTCAAAGTTAAAAATGAAAGAACGAAAGCTCTTTTCCCAGATAACAAACAAAGAGTTGTAGGGGAAAAAAATTATAGCTTAAAATAATTTGATAGAGCTGCATTGATGATGACTTTTAAAATATACAAGGTTGGCTTGCTATGAAGCAAGATAATAAAACAAAGGCAAAACCCACTCTATTTTTCATTATTAACAGCAAAATGCCACAGTGAATGAGAAATATTTAGAAAACTGTGAATTATGATGGATCATATATTCTTATTTCCTGCTGCCTCTCGACCTGAAGGAAGGGTGCAGAAATGAAGTCTCAGATTGCATCCAAGGTGCCATCTTTCACTAGAATGCTTTCATGTCAGCCAGCAGGAAAAACTGGCTTCTGAAGTGCAGTGAGCAGTGTTTTCCGGATGAGTGCGTCCCTGCCAATGTGGGAAAGACAGTGTGACCGCCACCCTGGGGAGTCTGCTGTGGAGGTGGGGCTGTCCAGTCCCAGGTGGTGCTGAAGCCAGCTGCTTCACTGCAGCTCCAGAAGGACCAAACAGAAGAGCCCAGCAGTGACTCGTGCCCACCTGCTTGGTGCCAAAGAGGCCAAGAGAACAGGGACAGCCATGTCTGTCTACGCCCTGTTTGCTATGCCTCGGGACCTCATTATTACCTGTCACAGGCCCTGCTCTTCTCCTCAACCTCCAGGTCTGTCCTCCTTTTTTATTTGTACTAGTATTTTTAACAAATGATAAACTGAAGTTCAGAAGGCTGGGTCACTTATCCAAGATCCCTCAAAACCAGAAAGTGGCGAGCGCTGAGCCTGGGTCTCTGCTGTTCCTTCTGTGCCTTCTGCTTGCTGGTCCTGCTTCATCATGAATGATCTGGAGGACCTCTGTGACTGGGGGCCTAACCCCATCATTTTACAGATGGGGAAACAGGCCTGGGCGGGGAAGGTCTTGGCCAATGTCCCAGTGTTTTGGAAGACAGACTGAGACCCCGACCCAGTGGCCGCCCTTTTGGTTTTCTGGCCTCTGTGGCTGATCCCCTTACAACTCTCACTGGGTTCATCCTCCTATCTCTGCTGCTCCATGCCCTGCACTCTAGTGGTGCCACATGCTGCCCGATTCCTGCCCAGTGGTGCACCAGGTCCCTGAAGAGCTGTGCCCCAGGGGAGGGCCCCCTTCCTCTTGCCCCAGTCTGGCTGGCAGTGCCTTGTCTACCAAGGGGAGACAAGACTCCTCATGGCTGATTTCCCCACCACCTCGTCCTGCAGTCCCCCCTCACCTCCCAGAACTTCCCTTTCTCCTAGGACTGCTCGTCACTCTTTTCATCCCCATCTGTCGCCTCCAGATGGAAATTCCTCCAGGATTGCAAACAATGATCATTCAGCTCCCATACAGGATGGCAGAGGAGGAGGGAAGGAGGACATGTGACTCACTGGCCGTTCTTTTTAATACTTTGATGAGGTGACCAGCAGGATTTTGGCTATCCACCTGAGAGCTACTGCCTGGTCATTTATTTAACCAGAGAAAAACACTGTTGCTATGGAAGAGCATGTAAAAGGTAGTTACCTGCGGCCCCAGCAATCCAGTGATTCCAGGTGGTCCCACGTCACCTTTCTTTCCCTGAGTGTAAAAGAAGAAGCTAAAATTAACAAGCAGGCAATCCTCACCCAGAGCTGATTTAATAATGAGTCTCGGTGGACATTTGGGTCTTTATTACTCTCAACCTCCCAGATTAACAATTGTCCCTTGGAAATCCCCCACAGAGGAGCAATGTGGGATCAGAAGAACGACTCAGGCTTTGGGGTCAGGAGCAAGGCTTTGGATCCCAGCTCTGTAACTTAAATGTGCTTGGTAATACATGGCCCCGTATTCAGAAGGCACAGAAGGGAATACCTGAGAAAAGTCTCCTTTTAATCCCAGTCTCAGCCACTCAGTCCCTTTCCTTGGCTCATCTTACCAGATGTTGGTTAATTCTCCCAGAGATATTTTGTGCATTGGTAAGCCCTCCACATGCACACACACAAACACACACACTCCCCTGTCCCCTTTCCTTCACAGATTTCAGCATGCCATTTAATCTGTTAAACTTGGCTTGTTTCCATTTCATTGATCTAAGCAGGATCCCACATCACAGGGAGAGTTGCTGGGATCCTTTACACAAATGCATGATTTTCCCTGTGCAAATGCTTCGTGATGCACTGAAACAATCCCTCCTCGTGGCCAGGTAAGTTACTCAGGGCATGTGTCCTCTTCTGCTGTGCGAATCCACACTTCAGTGCATGTGTGCTCAGTAGTTCCAGTAGGGTGACATTGTGGGGTGACCTAAGGCCATCTCCTTAAACAGGGGTAAGGTGTGTGTTGGTTAGTTTAATTTATACAATGTGGTAATGGCATACATTGTGTAGCAGAGGTTATCTGAAGGACAGAATACAGCCCTTTTGGGCTTTGTCTTGGAGGTTTTCTTGATTAAATAAAAGCATTGCCATCAGAAATTGAAGGTAAAACAGGACGTTGAGTAAGATCTACGTTTTGAGTGCCTATTTTGTGCTAAACTCACTTTCTAGTTCTTTCCACATGGTTCTTTCTTAATTTGTTCTGCGAGAGGATCCTAGAACGCCCATGTTCTCATCCCATTGATGGGTGTGCAAACCGAGGCTCAGAGCTCATGTCTCCATTTTTGCACTGCTAGTAAGGGGCAGAGCTCAGACCACACCCAGTTCCATGTGGCCCTGACGGCTGTGCCAGTGATGCGGGCTTCTCAGGGTTCCGAAGATGATTAAAAGGGATGCTTTCTACAAAACAACTCTAAGGGTATCTATGAGACGTAAAACTTGATGTCATCCTCCCCTCTCATTCAGCAACTCTGGCCCTCTTCTCTCTGCCCCTTGCTGATTCTTGCTTATCTCCACTGTCCCAGGTCCCCCAACTCAGGGACATGCATAAGGCCTTTTTCTTACCTTAGACCATGCCCCCTCCATCCCACTATTTCCCCACCGATCCCCATCTTTCTCATTCCTTCCCTCTCTCCATCCCTTCTTTCCTCTCCTTCCTCTCTTCCTTTCTTCCTTCTCTCCTTTTTCCCTTCCTCCCACATTTAATGAACAACTAGTATGTGCTGAGCTTAGGAAACAGGCTTTGTGATACCTCTACCCGCAACCTCCCAAAACAGCCCTTCCCCAGGAGCAATGGGCTAAGCAGAGCTGCTGTACTCTCCCGCCTCCGCTTCACAACGCCACCATCAAACCAAGGCCCATCTTAGGCACATAATCCTCCAGGAGGCTGCTGCCACTTTGTTAAGGGAACAAAGGTATCAGAGTTGCACAAGAGGGAAGTCTGGTGGCGCTCGGAGGCAAGTGCTCTTTAAGGAGCTTCAAGTCCTGAAATCTCAGGGGTCTCACACATTAGACTGAGCCCACTGTGGCTGAAAGTGGAAGATAAAGCTCTACTCTCTCCTGCTTTGTTGTCCACTCAACTCAGTCCCCCTGAATGCTGAGCTCTGGGCACACCGGCAGGACTAAGGCATGGCCTCTGCCCATAGGGGCTCGTAGTTTGCTGAGAAGGCAGACGGAAGACTGTGTAATGACCACACAGCCTGTGCTGGGCATGCAGAAGCATCAAGAGCTCCTGGTTCTGCCTAAAGGGCTTAAGAAGATGTCCCAGGGAGGCGGTGCTGATGTCATGTTGGAAGGAGAAAAAGGAACTTCCCAATGGGACAAAAATCAGCTGCAGGGAACAGAATAGGAAAGTGTGCAGAGGCAGCTGAAAGCCAGACATTGGCAAAGACTGTGTGTCGCCCAGGATGGGAGGCTGCAGGATGCGACAGCAAGGAGTCTTGAAGGGTTTGGGTGGCCTGGACCAAGCACAGCCACCCAGGGGGTCAGGGGTTTCAACTGACCACACAGTCTGGTCCAATGTGTGCCGGCCCCGGGAGCAGCAGATAGGATGGATGAAGGCTGATGGAGCTGCTTCCTCTCCCTGCCCAGCGTGACCCACAACATCCCCTTGGACCAGCCCACCATTGTCTCCCCCGAGGATGACCACAGCAGCCTCCTAAACTGTGCCTCCCTTCACACTTGGCCATTGCACTTTTCCCCTCAAAGCAGAGCCAGGATGATATCATTAAAACATAAATCATGTCACATCTCCTCTGCTCAAAGCACTGCAATGCTTCTCTGCTCACTTAGAGCAGAACTTTAACGACCTCTAACCTGCCCTCCATGGCCTCATTTCCTCCAACCCTCTTCTCATTTCCGTGTACCTTTTCCCCACCTGCAGCCACACTGGCATCCCATCTCCAGCTTAAACCTGCCAAATGCATTCCAAGCTGAAGGCCTCTCCGCTGGCTCTTCCTCCCGCCTGGGTTGTTCCCCAGGTATCCACATAGATCAGTTCTTCAATTCACTTTGGTTTCTGCTCAAATGCTCTTTGAACTGAATGTCTTCTTTGGCCAGCCTAATCAGACTAGCAGCTCCTCTGTCCCACTGTGTCCTCTCACCCTGCCGTAACTTCCTTAGTATGGATCCTCACCAGATGGACCACTGGTGTTCGTGGTTATTTATTGCCTGTCTACCCTTAGTGGGACACAAGCCTTCTGAATGCAGAGTCGGGCTCTGTTTTTGTTTGATGCTCTATACTGTTGGCTCAGGACAGTGCCTGTCACATGGCAGACACTCAATAGACATTTGTGTGCTGAATAATTGTCCCTTTGAGAACTATGCAGTCCCAAGCCATGTCAGTGACACGAGGGATCGCAGTGAAAAGTTAGAGAAAAGTGGTATCAGGGAGGAAGGGAAGATACAACTTGGAGATGTACTGACTAGCAGAGAGAGTAAGTGAGCCTGATTCTGACACCCCTGGATCCGCACCTGTGAGCTGTGGAATGCATCAGCCTGGAGGATGTGATGAACTTTAGGTCAGAGTGGGTTTCTTGATACTTGCCAGGTAGAATTCAAAATGTGGTCACAGATCCCTTCAGAAGATAGCAAAGCCTTGGAGGCTCTGGGTTTCTCCATCCATCTGATCCTGCTCTGATTAATGCAGACATCAGGAAGCTGATCACAAGACAGCTAATAGTTGCCAGCTCCCCTTCCTCAGGGAAAGGAAACCAGACACCTTCCATTTTCTATCTAGACACCCACTCCAACTGCTTCCAGGTGATTCTATAGAAAGTCACTGGTTATTTACAAGATGAATAAACCATTTTCCCTCGAGGTCAGTGGGAGGACCTGGTGACTCATCCTCAGAATTTAGAACCCAAGCCAGCAATGTAACTATGCTGAAAGGAAAGACTGAAAGGAGAGATTCATTTCCTACTAATGGTGGGTAGGAAAGGATGTGAGGGAAGGGATGCAGAGATCTGGGCCATGACTGGGCAGAATGGCTCATTAAGATGCCAATGTGGTCGTGGTGTGAAGCTTTGCTTTCCTCTCTGGGGTGACGCGATCACCATTTGGGGATGCAGCAAGGTCTCAGCAGCTCTCCGCTTCCTCAGCTGACCCCAGGATCTTATGTAACAACCTTACTCATGCTCAGGAAGGTGAACACCTAAGTTGACATCAGCATTTGTAAAAGGCATGGACTCAGGAGCTGATCCTATGCCAGGAAAGTTGAATCAATTGATCTGGAAGAGCAGGCATATGGGCAAGTAGGAGGCATGTGGTGCATGAAAGAGAAATGTAGCCGGGCGCGGTGGCTCAAGCCTGTAATCCCAGCACTTTGGGAGGCCGAGGCGGGTGGATCACGAGGTCAAGAGATCGAGACCATCCTGGTCAACATGGCGAAACCCCGTCTCTACTAAAAAAATACAAAAAATTAGCTGGGCATGGTGGTGCGTGCCTGTAATCCCAGCTACTCAGGAGGCTAAGGCAGGAGAATTGCCTGAACCCAGGAGGCGGAGGTTGTGGTGAGCCGAGATCGCGCCATTGCACTCCAGCCTGGGTAACATGAGTGAAACTCCGTCTCAAAAAAGAAAAAAGAAAGAGAAATGCAAAGAAACACACATCTACAGACACAAACATCAGAAGCATAAGGTTTTCGGCAAGGAGGAGAAAATAAGCAAAAAGGCAAGAGGCCAGAGAAAGAAAAGTGTCAGAGGCAGATCTTTCATGGGTCATCCACAAAGGGGCGTCACCCAGAGAAGCCTCAGTGTAACATCTCTTTGGCGTCTGTACCTTCCACACCTGCAGCGTCATGGGCCGTTCCAGTGCCTCTCAAAGCCGGCCTTCCTTTCTGCAGCCATAGTCACAGGAGCCCACCCTGTTCCCAGGCCCAATCTCTTCCTTCAGGCCCTCCTGGGCCAACCTGTGCAGGCAGGTTATCCTTCCCAAAGGGTGAAAGAAGCTCTGTCCAAGTCACTTCTCTTCTCTAATGTAGTTAGTTAGAGGAGCTTCTTTATCCCAAAGATATATCTGAGCTGTTTGATTTGGAGATTCCAAGCCCTGGGGTCCTAACCTGCCTTTTCAATCTGGTGTTCAGAGTTCACACCATCATTTCCCAAGCAAGGGTCCAAAAGGACTGCTTAGCTCAACCCCAAATACCCCCTTAGGACTTCTGATGCCTGAGACGTTGCCATGCTGCTCCCTCTGTCTGTAATCCTCCCTTCCTGTCTCAGCCCATCAAAA